GGCCTCACGGGAGTGTAGAGAGAAGTAAGTTGGTGTGTGGTAATCTTTTAGAATGGTGCTTGGTCCATACATGCTAATCCTTTAGGATGGTGCTTGGTCTGTAGTTATCACCCCTTAAGTACTCACTTTTCAAAATTAGAACCCTGGGGCTGGCGCTGTGGCACAGCGGGGTAAAGCCCTGGCATCCCATATGGGCCCTGGTTCAAGTCCTGGCTGCTCTACTTCCCATCCAGCTCCCTGCTAATGCGCCTGGGAAAGCAGTAGAGGTTAGCCCAAGTCCTGCCCCTGGATCCACATGGGAGACTTGGAAGGAGCTCCTGGCTTCGGATCAACTCAGCTTCAGTCATGGGGCCATCTAGGGAGTGAACCAGTGGACGGAAGCCCTCTGTCTCTCCTTCTCTCTGTAACATTCAAATAAATAAAAATGAATCTTTAAAAAAAATTAGAACCCTATAGAATACTATACATGAGAAGACTAAAGTAGATGTTATGTGTATCTACTTCAAGAGTACTCACACACTGTTGAATGGCTAGGAATAGTCTGTGCTGTACGCATAGACTGTAGTGTTATATTATTCCTATTTTCAAGAAGCAAAATGACCATGAATCTTCTATCGGTACCTATGTATGTGGATGTGCAGGGGGAAGGAAGTTGTAGGAAGAGCTAGAATTAAGGACATTGCCTTTAATTACCTCTCTGATTTTAGATGAATAGATTTGGGTGGATGAGCACAGGGACGGACATGGATGGATGGATATGGAAACCCACATAGATACATACATAGATGGACATAGGTTTATTCACATAATTATTATGTCTTTGAAAGTATAGATGAGAAGACTGAGTTGATATAAATTATCCCTTTTATAGGTTGGGGAAATAAAAGCTGAGTGACATCACTAGCGTGCCTGAGCCCACAGGCAGCAAGCCCTGGAGGAAGGCTCTGAGCCCCACTCCCACCCCACACTGCCTCCTGGGGCCACCCAGGAGTTGTGACAAAGGCTAGAAGAAGGGGCCTCCTTGTCCATACTGGCCGGAGCAGTAAAAGCCAAATGCAATGAAGAATTGTGTTGTTTTTGTTTGTAATTAATGAACCTGTTGGAATGTGCCATTCAGCGGTGGAGCTGAATGGTTCCTGTTGTTCCCACAAAACAAACAAAACTCTCCACACCCAAGCCCCTTCCACGGCCACTTTTCCAGCCTTATCTCTCCAGGGACTGTGAAAGGGACACCCATGTTAGAGAGGCAGCCTCTCCAGTAGGACCCAGGCACCGGACTCTCCCTGGCCCTCCTCCCACCATGGGACAGACCGAGCCCCGAGCCCTGGGGAGCCCCAGCTCACCCCCTCCTGGAGGCCCCTGCTGCCTTGCCTCTCCAAGCTTTGCTTCCGCCTGGGCCTTGATGGCACAAACCAAGTCACCATTTAACTTTGATAGTTGTGAGGATCTTCTCCAAGTCTCAGAGCCAAAGCACATGAGAAATGCATCTTTAGTTTTCTCTATGATGCCCTTAAATAACCAGCCCTTCCTCTCTAAAGGTTGTTCAATTAGAACCTCTGGCCATCTTAATAGTTTTGAAAAGATGTCCTCCAGGCAAGCAGCAAAGCATTCTGCAAATCTAGCCATCCATTCCCTCTCCATCTGAGGAGCAGTGCCCTGCCTGGGATACCTTGGGTCAAGCATAACAGTACATTGTAGCCCCACCATTTAGTGGCTGGGTCGCCCCTACTCTCAGCCTCAGTATTTTACATCTGAAAAATGGGCGCACAATTAGCTCTTAAGTTTCTAGGTGGGTGAAAGAACATTTACGACATTTTTGCACCTGCTAGGGTCTGAGACACCTCCTTTCCCTCCTCCAGCCCAGTCACAGCTCTCCTCTTGTCTGCGGTTCCCAGGATGTCAATAGTCTGGGTCCCTCCAGCCCCCACCAAGTGCCATGCCAGGCTCTTCTCCAGAATCTATCCTTTGTATTTTCCTGAGGTTGCAAAGCCCAGTGTTGAGGCATAATCATGTGTGTGAGAGGGAGTGGGTCCGATTTCTCTGAAAACGGCTTCTTTGCTAAAACCACAACCTCAGATCTGATACAGAAAGAATCCGCTGGCAGTGGCCCCTGTCAAAACAATTCAGAGACCTCCAGGGCCATCCTCCAGGGCTGGCGGCCGGCCCCCAAGCTGAGCCTCACCCTTGAGTTCCCGACAGGCTCAGGGGCCAGTCCCCAACCCTCCACCCTACAGCCCCATCGCCCTGTGCAAAGAGGGCCAGAGACAAGGGCTTGGCATTCGGAACCAGATTCACTCTCTCTCTCCTGCCCCCAACTCCGCAGGAACCACACACACACATGCACGCACAGAAACATTCAGAAAGCTGCTGGCACTGCCCGCCCCTGCTGGAGCTGGGCAGAGCTGCCAGAGCAGGATCTGCCCGGCCAAGGCTGCCTTCGTCCTTCCCAGCCCCCTCCGACTCCTCCCAAGTCAAGGTTTTGTCCCGAGTTTCAGGGGCAATGACTGGTGGCGAGGGGGGCCACAGACATCCCGGCTGCTGCCAAGTCCCCTTCTTTTCCCCCCCAGTGGGTTTTCTAAGCCTGCATGTAGTTTATTCTTCTCCTAAACACTGCCATAGGGTGCAGGGCCTGGAGTTGCCATAGAAACACCTTTTAACTCCTCCTCGCCCACAAGGCTGTGCCAGTCCCCAGGGCTCGGAGGATGAAAGGCAGAGAGAGACGCCTGTGGATGAGGCACTAGGAGAGGGAAGGCCACAGGGCAAGCCCCTAGAGGGGACCAAGCCAGGCGTGGCACCCAGCCACAAGGAAAAAAAAAAAAAACCAGCAGGCATGTTCTGGAAGAAGCTGCTGGTGGGCTGGCTTAGCCTGGGGCATCGACTCCGTGGGGCTGGGGCTGGGGCTGGGGGGTGGTATGGGGCGCTCCACAGGATGAGGATGGCTGGAGCTTCAGGCCAGGCTGGAAACCAGAAAGGCTGCAAGCGAGCAAGGAGAAGCGGGAGCCACCTACTGGACAGCCGCAGGGCGCCGTGCACGGCAGAGAGAGGTCAACCAGCAGGGCCCACACCCACATCTCCCATTTTTAAAAGCATTATCTCATCGCGGCCACCAGTGCAGTGCACCAAACCCAGGCAGGGTGGCTCTGGGCCTGCGCCAGGACCGCGGGGAGCTCTTTTCTTTTCGGTGCTTTGCTGCCACAGCGCTCTGGTCCTGGGAACTTTCCTGGTCACTCAGCTTTTCTCCGGGCACTTTTTATTTAAAGAGGTTAGAGGCAGTTCGGTCTTAGAGAAACCCAGAAGAAATTACAAGAAACGTTTGCATCTGCCCAGACCCACAGCAAGAACCCTAAATGGGAGGCTCAGCAGTGGACCGAGCCGCTGGAAGCAGGGTGCACTTGCTCCTACTTCCACCTTGTCCTGGTGGACCCTCAGGGGAGAGCCACCCTCACCCCCAACCCCGTCCACAGCAAAGGGCCAGGACGAGGGATGAGCTCTTCCTCTCCCCATACATCAGAACCCCTAGCTGGCACCCCCGGCCCAGCTCAAAGTCAGCCGCGCCTGATACCACCTGCTAGCCTCCTGGCCCCGCGTGCGCTCCGTGCGGAGCTCAACCAGAATTCAGCAGTAACAGCACCACCTCCCAACAAGAACCAGGTGGAAACGCCACCAGCTGCAGCGAGGAATTCGGGTAGGGGCAGCAGCCCCAAGAATCCTTCTGAGCAACCCACAGAAGCAGGGTCCAGCCAGGTTCTCCCAGGGGAAGGAAGGGTGTGCAGCGGCAGGCCCCAGGAAGCCTTGACCAAACAGACCACACAAACACCCCTGGCTGCCAACCCGAACGACCTCCAAGCACCGGGGGCCCCCTCTCCAGCTTCTCCAAGGCTGCGCCTGACTCACCCTCAGTGCCCCTCCCAACCTGGGGCTCCTCCCCGCAACACACGTGTAGGGTCCCTCACCAGTGGAAGATTTGCTTCCCTGTATGACTGCACTTCACACACACACACACACACACACACACGCAACGCACGCACGCACGCAGCGGGGACACTCGGTTCGCACGCCTGCTGAGCCGCAGAGGAGGGGAGAGACGCGTTCCATCTGCCACTCCACCTCTGGCCATCCCGATCCAAGTGTCCCACACACTCCCAGACAAGTTTTCCCAGGACACCCTCCCTCAAGGTCTTTGGGGAGAAGGAGCTGCACTTCCTGCAGGGTCTAAGCCAGGCTCAAAGTCCAGTTTGGAACTGTTGCCACAATGTGACCCTTGGCATCTTGGTTCTTTTGGTGGCAAATCTGTTCACCAGGTGTCATCTACGTACACACACACACACACACACACACACACACACACACACACAACTCCAGAAAAAATAAACCTTCCTGCGAGTTTTCACAGCTATTTGGTAAGTGAGCCCTCACAGCCACCACGAGCTTGCTATCACCTCCCCCCACCCCCCACCCCGCCAAGCTCTCTCTTCCTTTTTCCACCTATATCCGCCCAAACTTGGCAGCCCCAGAGCCCCAGCTTCCACTGGCTTGGGGAGCCTGCGGCTGGGTTGGGTCCCAGGGGGAAGAAGGGAATCGATAGGAGAGGTGGCAAAAGCAGAACCCTCCAAGTTCCACCTGCAACTTTGGAGTTCTTGCAGGGTGCAGGGTCTGGCACTTGGCTGGCAACTTTAAAAAAAATTAATAGCAAGGACACGCAACAGCCCAGGGGGGGTGAGTTAGCGCGGCCAAGTTTTAGGAACCCTCTCCCTCCTCTTCTCCCCCAGCCCTTCTTCCTTCAATCCCGAGTGGGGAACTTGGCCCAGCTGTCAAACGGACCAGGAGGGACCTCAGACCCTCAGGGCCGGCGAAGGGTGCTGTGTCGGCCACGTCAGAGCTCCCTCCGCCCGAGGACACGGAGCCCCGCCACCCCGCCCCTGCACCCCTGCGCCCAGTGCCTGGGGCGGAGACCGGGAGTCCCGCAGCAGCCCAGGCAGCAGCGCACTCGGAGCGCTTACCGATGTCGGAGTTGCAGAAGGCGTCCTGGGGGTGGCTAGGCGAGCATGTGCACGCCTCGGCGCCCCAGTCCCCCAGTCCCCAGCTGCCCAGGAGCACCACGAGGCCGAGCCACAGAGTCATCGCCGCTGCCGCTGCCGCCGCTGGGACTGCCACTCGCCTCTGCAAACTTGCGGTGCACGCCGCCGGCGGGGCTGCCGCAGCCCGAGCTCTCCCGCTCAGTCGTGCGGGGCAACTTTGGCCTCCGAGTGCCCAGCGGGACAAGGCGCTGGCGCACAAACTGCGCGGGTAGGCGGACAGGCAGGCGGGCGGGCTCTCCCAGCGAAGGAGCGGGAGCCGAAGGAGCAGGAGGAGCCGGAGTCCGAGAAGCAGAAACTACCGAACGCCCGCGCCTGCCCGCTGCCCACTCTGCGCCGCTGCCCCGGCCGCCGGGAGATATAGCCCGGGCGCCCCGGGAACACCCTCCCCCGGGCGCACGGGGCCGCCCCCTCCGACCAATGGCAGAGCCGCATTACCTCATCGGCCCTCCGAAAAGGGGGCGGGGCCGGGGGCGCGGGCCGGCGGGGCGGGGCCGCCCCCGGACCGTTCAGATCCTTATAGGGAATAATGCTGCTGTGGGCACGCGAGTGGGTGGGCTGGGCGCGCCCCGGACCCGCGCCCGCCGCCGGCTCTCCCAGCGGCGGCCCCGTGCCCACTTTCGCCCGACCCTCGCTCCACGTCCGTCCCACACCACAATCGACCCCGACCCACCCACGCAGGGCAGAGGAGGGGGGCCTGGGTCCTGGCGGACCTGGAGCGCGCCGGCTGGGACACGTAGCGGGAGCTGTTACCCGCGCGCCTTCTCTGGCGAGAGCAGGGTCTCCAAAAAATACCCAGACCGACGACGCCTCCCTCCCTCACGTTCTGGCTGCGAGGGAGCCAGCTGCCGATTGGAGCTAGCTGGCTGCGATAGCAGTGGCTTCCCCGGGCAGGCTGGGCACAAGGCAGAGTTGTGAATTCATTCAACACAGGCTGTTGCAGGCGCTGGAGTACGCAAGCCCAAGCCCTTGCTCCCGTGGACGTCCTGAACGCACGCGATCTTGTTCTGTGACGCCAGAGCACAGAGCAGGGTCAGGGGTTGGAGAGACAGGGGGTGGGAGGAAAGAGGAGGGCTGGGGAGGGGGCGACCTGGGTGCTGAGGAGTGGGCTAAGGCAGGCTGAGCCCCGCGCAAGCTGCAGGCCAGGGCAGCAGGCATCGAGAGAGGTTTGCGCAACGCCCTGAGCTTGTGTGCGGAACCCTGCCCAGAGCGCACGGGTCTCCCACCTTCAGCCAGGAACTCTGGGGTGCACTCGATCCCAAACTGGACCCCAGCTCTCATGGAAGGCTGCAAATAATTAGTCCAGTTATGATCCCGATCGTTCAACAACAGCTTGATTTCCCTTCGCAATGTTCCAAGGGAGGCGCCATACCTCACCTGGTGGTATCTCCGGGGAATCTTTCTGATAGGAAAAGCAAGCACCCGCGTCATTCATTCTTTCAGCATAAGAAAACCGGCACCAAGAGGTGGAAGGATTTGGCAACTGGGGAGGAAGTCAATCCACCAGGTAGTTTCCACTGACTCCTCTTACTTAGAAGAGATGGTTATCAGCCTGGACTTCAGCAGCTCCCATAATGCACCTGCGCAAATGCCCTTATGCAGCTGGGGTCTTGCACTTTCTTTCAACCTTTTCCTTTCTGTCCTGTCTCCTCCTGTTGAAAACCAGACTACACGCGAGGGTCTTCAAAAAGTGCACTGAAAAGGCAAAGTATGGCACAGCTCTGCATGGGTTTCCAAATTTATTGGCACCTAAATAAACTTACCTTTACATTCCACCAACCATGGGATTTTTCAAGCACTGTGCTACGTTTTGGCCATACTCGTCCTAACACTTTGAAACACATAAGAACTGGGAGAAATAAGAACACATAAGAACTGGAAGAAGTGCAAAGCTGAGCTTGGCAGGAAAGTTCATGGGAGATGCTATTTCCATAAACGCTTTTCTTACGCTCTTTCCCCCTCCCTGCTTCAACATGTAGGGAAGAGTGGCTACTCTTTCAGATCCTACAGTCCTGTCTCCCACCTAGCATCTGAGACCCTCCCTACTGGCATCCTGATCAGCCTGAGCCAGAGAGATGTCCCCAGCTGTGTTTTACCAGCACCAAGTTCACTGACTTTTGAGGTTATGCTTGTGCCACTTCCCTGATCCTACCGGAACTGTTTTGGGGCCAGGATATGTGGCCACACTGCTTTGGAGCCCTCTGGGAACAAAACAGGACCCAGAGGCCTTGAGCACCAATAGCCCACGGAGCCCGGAGCACTGGGCAGCCCGGGAACCAGGCAGGGACCCAGCCGAATAAGGGCATACTTGGTAGGATTTCAGAGGGTTGCTTATCCCCACACACTGCCAGTCATGTGGAAGGTTTTATCCAACTTTCCAGGCCAAATCCACTTTGGATAGGCATCTTACGTGACCGAGGCCCTCTCTTCTTTCTGTTCACGGTACAGCTTTGCCCAAAGCGAGGGCAGGTCTTGCGTGGAGTGTATCAGGCAGTGAACTTCTGATCGCAAAGCAGCAGGTGCTCCTTACAGAGGCACCTGCAGCCACTTCTTCATTATGGAAGCACGCATGTGTGGTCTGATTGCTTTTCCAGCTGAAGGTGATGGCATGGCCTTTGGGTGTATCTCCCCTTGCTCCCTATCCCAAGCCAGCCCACACAGTGTCTTTGGGGTCTTTCAGTTGGAAGTTCTTCTGTCTGCATAGGGGCTCCTGCCTGCCCACCCATGTGAGGTCAGCGCCATCTTCCACCCTGAGGAAGAGGAGGAGTGAACTCCAGAAATCCTGGCATAGGACAGTCCTCCTGCTGGGGTCAGCCCCGCCAGCAGGCAGACCTCACAGCCAGCAATCTGTCATGGTGCCCACAAGCCTAGTAACACGAGGGCAGTGCAGAAAGGTCACGAAAAATGCCTCGAACGAAAAAGCTTTGTGTAACTCTCAAACACTTGCACACCGAAAGTGACTCTGCACTGCATTTCATTTCTCTTAAAATCCCTGTGTAGACTAAGAATGGCCTTCTCAAGCCCACTCAGCAAGCTCAATGATGTCCACCTGGGGCTAATGGCAACAGTGAAGACCCCCCCCCCACCGCCCCCACTTGACCTTGAAGCTAAGAACAATGAGAGGGTTGTAACTCTGAGGAACCAAAGTAGTTCCAGCAGCTAGCTGGGCTGTCCTCAAACTGAGCAGCCTGACCTGGTGTTTCCTGGAACTTTCCTATGAAACGTGGGTCCCTGTTCAACCTCTTCGTACCAAGGGACAGGATGCTATACTTGGGAGGAAGTGCTTGTTTTGTTAAAATTTGTTTATTTGAGAGTCAGTGTGTGTGTGTGTGTTCCCATCCACTGGAGTGGGGAGGCAGAGGGAGCCAGGAACCCAATCATTTGAGCTGTTGCCAGTCTCCAGGGTCCACATTAGCAAGAAGCTGGAGCTTGAACTTGAACCCAGGTACTCTGATGAGGGATGCGAGCATCTTAACCCCTATGGGAAGTGTTTGGACACTGAGATATCATCAGAAGGAACTCAGAGATGCCCCATCTCCTTGTCAGTGGTGGGAGGAACCAGGTGCAGATCGGTGAAGGAATGCGCCCGAGTCTCACGGTCACCTAGGAGCATGGCCAAGACTGGGCTGCAGCCAGATTCCTTCTCTGGCTGCAGCACATTCGTGGGGCCCAGCGCTTGTACTCTGGCCATTCACAGATCCTGGATCTGTAGGCAGCCCCATGCCAGAGTCTCTCCGTACAGTGGCTTCGCCCTCCACAGATTCAGTTCTCTGTGGTGGTAATCATCACCCTCTGAACCAATCAGAACAAACACAGGTCTGTTCTCCCAAGAGGCTGAGCCCTTGTGTGTTTGTCCCTTTCTAAATTACAATCTAATACCTTCCGAAGACATTCCAAGCATAGCTCTGCGAAGAGATGCGTGGACATTTCATCTCGGAGGCACACAAAGAGGCTCGTGTGAGACAGAATCAAAAGCCCTGAGATTTGTTTCAGACATGGCTGCAGGATGCCTGTGCACCTGCCCGGGAAAAGTCATTTCATCTGCCCAGGCCTTCACTTCCATGCATACTGGATGAAATCTGCAACTCACTGTTCCTCAAGATCCCTCACACCTCCAAGAGTCCCAGACCTCAGGGGGACTCTTTCAAGGACAAGGCGCATGTTTCTGGAAGAGGACAAATCCTGCAGGTCTGACACAAAGCAGACGTGGCCAAGACTGGGGGCATCCATCAGGCTCTCAGTCAACGCCGGCTTCCTGACACTGTAGTTCCTTCTGCATAGTTCTGTTTGCCTCTGAGATCATAAGCACTAAAAGATCAGGAAGTCAAAATCCACTGAACTCAGGCCTCAGCTTAGAGGTCCTCTCCTCCAGGAAGCCCTTTCTGATTCCCCTCCCATGTATCCCTGTGTTTTCCTCCTTTTACAACAAGTAGCTGGCTCTAATGGGATTGTCTCCCTGGCCATTTCCCTTCTGGACTGCAAACCCCCGGGAGTGCAGGGATCAAATGTTGGGGACGAGAGTGCAGGAAGTGTTGACCGAATGGCTGCAGTATTCAGCGCTGCCAAAGGGTCCCAGTATTCCCAGACAGGCAGGTGGCAGCTCCTTGCAGAGTTCCTGGAGCCCTATCCCGCTGGCTAGTGCTAGGGGGCACCATAAACCAGAAAACACCCATCCACTCAGGCTGCAGCCGGCCTCACAGAGACGGCAAGGCGAGATTCCGCACTGGCCTGTGCGGTGCCGGTGCCTCTGAATGGCAGAAGTGAGCCCCTCCCGTCTGCAGTGGCCGCAGAGTTCTCAGTCTGTGTCGGTCGGGGCTCCTCCACCCTGGACTGGCCACATGGCAGCCCAAGGGGAGACACTCCCTCGGGAAGCCACTTCCTTGGGAATCGTTGGTTTGGGGGCTATGGGGAGGTCTGGGAACCCCACAGAGGATGTCAACGGCTCTCTCCTCCTGAGCAGAGCTGGGCTCTGGACATTCCAGCAGGACAAGGCAATGACAAGACATGGTCATTCCTGTTCCTTCCAGCAAAGCACCTCTTTGCATC